AACCCTATCAAAGACCGAAGGACCCTTCTCAGTGATAGGAAAACCACACACCGCCCCCGAGACGAAAAACGCAGGTGGGACACCAATAACGAACCCACCTGTGCTGACACAAACGACGAGAAACGAACACCACGATCGAAAGCGCAAAACGCGAATCTAAAAACAGCGACCCTGCAACCCAAAGGAGCAACATAACCAGCTCCAGCAGGGAAGAATGATACACGCATCCCCGAGGCATCCAAGAGGAGAACTACCGAGGACGAGAACCGCAGAAAAGCAAACACACCCGGTCTGGAAAAGGAACAAAGAAAAACCGAAACCAGGACCGGAACCCAGCAAACCCGGTTCCAAGAAAAGGAAACAGGAAGGCAGGAGCGGCAGACCGAAAAGTCCACACCCCCCCCCCCCACAGACAGCGCAACCCGAAGCCTGCAGAAAACCACACAGAAATCGCAGGAACTCGGTACCAAAACGGAACATTGGAGAAGTCCAAAAGCAGGACGTGGAACATGGACAGAGGCCCTCCGGAGTACCAAACAGGATAATCAAGAAGCACTGACCCAGATACACAAAAAAGTGTAGCATGGGGGAGAAAAACGGAAATAGGTAAGGAAAACCACGAAGACGGCCCAAGGAGCGGCCGGGAAGTAACGCACACGACCAACCACAAAATGTGTAGAGGAGCGCGTACATACAAGAGGGACCTTACGGACAGCAGGGTGCAGTCAAGCACCGAAGATTGGCAAAGGAAAGTGTCCAGACAGGGAAAAGACCCAGGGGTTGACAACGAAAACAAAAGCACCGAAACGCGGTGCAGAGCCCCACAGGACAGCAAAGAACAAAAGATGGACAAACAAGGCACATGCAAGGTGACCAAACACCACATCAAAACACCCCAGTCAGGAGCTATCGACGCAATCCCGCCAAGCGGGGAAGAGTAAACAAGGATGGAACAGTGAACAAGGGTGGCGGAGTGAGTAGAGTATTCCAAAAAGATAATCGCTCTAAACGCATGAGCCTAACTAGAGAAGCAAAGCTCTACAAAGTACCAATGATGGAACTCAAACCATTCCGTACGTCCAAAGGAAAAGTCCTGCCAACCTGTGGAGAACTGTGAGGCGGCGCCCAAGCATATAACCAGCAGAGTAGCAAATAATAACTAGTCTACCTGCAAGTGTGGTCTAGAACAGACATGCGAGACACCGTACCGACACTCAGTGCACCCAACTCGCACCATTGCCCGTCAAAACATCACCCGCAACTACTGTATACGCACCAAAAGATACTGTAAGTAGTTCCGTAGTGTTTGTGTTTATTTACCAATCTCCACGAAACAATAGAAACTGGGATAGTGGCACACGCCACCCTTGCGGCACATTGTGGGCATGAAACAATGGGCATAAAAGGGATAAGCGCAGAATCAGGAAAGACCGGAGGAATGACCGGCACGGTTACAGGCCCGGTGATGCGCGGAACCAATTACCACGTAACGTGGTGGTGGGGCCCCACGATTGGTGCAAGGACGGGTTGGACATGTATGTGAGTGGGAATGGATGGTAAGAAACAGTAGCTGCCTCGCACGGGCCAAGAGGCCCTCCGCAGGTCCACTGTACTTATGTCCGTATGTTTGAATGCACAAGGGGACACAGGGGGTAGTGAGCACCCAAAGGAGCCACAGACACTAAAACGAACCTGATTAATGTCAGAGAAGAAAGGAAGCGAAAAGCACCAAAAAGCCATGTGGAGGAGGCAGACGCCACCCACAGGAGCAAACGTGAAGACAGAGCCCAGAAGACTCAGGAAACTGCACAACCGTCAACTGACAGGAGAGGCGGGGCCCAAGAGCCAGAGCACAACTCCCGCAAGCACAACTAGGCAAGCACCCCACCAAAAGTGAGAACCAGCACTAGGCCGACAGAAGTGCCAGACAAGACAACCTCACCTGCAGAGCAGACACGACCGTGCCACAACACAGGTGAGCCAAGTTACATACTAGGAGCAGCGCTAAAGGTGTGCCCGAAAGCCATGCATACTCGAGGCAGTAGGCATAGTATGTACCGTTACCTGAATAAAATGTGAAGTCGAAGGAGTAATACGGCCAGAGGCGCGCGCCCTGCAGAAGACGAAGCAGTACAGAGGGTGAGGCGGCGCCACGCCAAACCATCCCACACCAAGAAGCAGAGGAAGAATAAAGTGACACCCCCAGATATAAATCCAAAACACCCTCAGCATCAAGAGGGCCATGACTGGAGGGAGAAATGAGCAAGAAGCCGTAGAAAACCACGAGAAACGACGCGAACACACGAGCATACCGCCCATAAACAAAACGCACACCGCAGCCCCAGCACAGGAGGTACGAAACCTCCGCCGGCGGATCGCCGGCGCGGGAGGTCTGGGGCTCCCCCTTCCCCCTCCCGGGGAGGAGGGGGAGCTGCGCAGACAACGGTGCGGCGATGGGTGACGTTATATTAGTTTGCTAGTTTTTGTTTGGGGAGTTCTATTCACTTGTTCGGCTTTTTGGTTGCAATTTTCACCAGAATAGGGGTTTGTTTTGGGACGCTTACCTTTCTGTGTGCCTAACCCGGTCGATGGCAGACATAGAATGCTTCCAACCACACAGGGGTTTTTATAGGCCACTGCTCTCCTTGCCTCTCTGAGGGGGCCAGGTTCTGGCTCGTGGTTCCTGGTAGGCCCAAAGAACTCCATACACATGACTGATGCCAAAGTCTGACATTAGCATATCAGCCTAGTAAGCTCGGGGAGCCGTAGGGGCTCCCCCCAGAAAAGAGGCGCTGACTCAGCATGCTTCCGAGGCGGTCTGCTCAGCCCCAGCTGTCAGGCAGGAGTGGCCACAAAGATATAATTACCTAATTATTTCAGTGTTTCTTACTGATTTTTCTTTGTTTTGTTGCTGTAATATTATTCAATAGTGTGTAGTGTGGTATATTTATATAATAAAATGTGTGAATCATCGCTGTACTCAAAATTATGGTGTGCATATTATTGATTCAATTATTGTGTTCATAAAACAATAAACAAATATTTTGTCAGTTATTACACTATATACACAGGTTATATATAAGTATCTGCATGTTTTATTTACCATAACGAACCACTAAGTTGATATTGCGAGTCAAAAAGCAACGAGGTGTGGCCACCACATCTGCCAGTCAGCCTCTCACCGCCACTCCCTCCCTCAATGACTCCTCACTCGCCCACATCCTCCTCCCACCATACTGTTATTCCTTTTATTCACTATATACAGACATTGTATATAAGTGTCTGTTCACCATAACTGTTCATCTAAGCTGGTATAGTGCCCAAAGAGCACAGTGGCCACACCTACTAGCATGACAAATCATGCAGATGTTGCCACCTCCCTCACCAAAATGGCTTCTTACAACACTCCTTTTGCTGTTATTACACTATATATACACAGTTTTTGCCTTAGTGACTTCTCTTGTACACTGCAGTGTAATATGAGCCTGGCTTGAAGAGTACTTGGAGCTGCATGTGCTCAGGGTTACCTTCCCTGTGTGCTCCCTAGTGATGTCCTTACACCTCCAATTATCTTTTCTGGAGTTTTCGAGAGTTGCTCTTTTAGAAGTTCTCCTCACTTGTGGTGGCCCTTGCCTAGAGTCAGGGGGACTTGCACCTTCTCTGTCAACCTGACTCAGGTGTGATCTCGTCCACTCTCTCTATGCAGGATGAGCTGCATCCGTTTATGAGCTTGCTACGTGAAGGTCTTCGACGTCGATGAGACACTCACCGAGTTTCTTCTCCTGGGTTAATTGTTAACTTTTACATTGTGGTGCTTGTTCCTTGGTTAAGTGAAAGATTTTTGGCACTTTTATGTCCCAGTGACTGCTGGCAATTGTGTATGTTTTCATCCCTTTATCTGTTATTGAACATGTCTTTTGTTGTTACCTGTGGCACGTGTCCCATGAATTGTTAGTCTTTATCATTTGAAAGTGCCTTATGTTGATAATTACTACAAGTACGTTGAGCATAAAAGTACATATACTATGAATTATGGTGACAGTTTGAATTGTTGATGGATGACAAAATAACTTATTAACTAAGTGTTAGTTTGTTGGACCAAGAATCTTTTGCAATATCCATAGTCCTTGTTAAAGTAGGCCACTCTCATGAGAAATTTTGTAATGTAATCCTAAGGTATTGGTGAATAAAGTCAGTGTTAAGTAAATTTCTATCATTTGAGACCTGTGTCACATGTCATAATGCCTTAACAAAGGAACTGTGTCTTTAGTCTAGGTATGTGGTGTCTGTTACTTACGTACAGTAACAATGTGTAAGCCCTATTTCATGATTATTTACACTTTTGTAATGGCCTGGTATTTGTTTCTACCTAGTTCCATTTATATTGGTAGAGAAATACTTGCTGCCCTTATAGGACGGGTCGTCAATGGTCCACTCCATGGAGATGAACCGAAAGTGAGACAACTCATCTGCGAGGATGTTCGACACACCCCACACATGAACCACAGGGAAACCAAACCCCGAGAAGCCATGTGCCACACAGTGTCCAGCTCTACAGGGGAACGGACAGAACACATACACCTCAGATTAGGCAATGAACCAGAGGGAAGCAATCGAACTGATGCACTGAACCCAGGGAAGACAAATCCTCCTCAAGGCATGCTACACAGTCCCCAAACTACACTAGCTATGCAGGAAACCTAGACTCATGTCAACTCTTCTTTGTCTTTCTTCTGACACAAATCACAGCTGGGACTTGTATCACTGAACTGATCTCTTATTCTATCTTGTAACTATAATTCAATGTCACTATATATAAACATCTATAAATACAACTACACATTGCTACAAGTTGGCCTCTGCCCAGGGCATATAGTTTCCGAGAATCCCCGGGCTCGCAAATTTGTCAACTTGGCAAACGCCACTTTCTCTTCCCTAAATACATATATGCATAGTATAAACACACACACACACACATACACTGTACATTATATGCATACCTTTTTAAGGTTTTCACAGAGCTTGCAAAATAAGAAGAATTCTTCAGGAGCAGCCAAACAATTCTCACTCAGATCAAGGTGACACAGGGATCGCACATGCTTGCTGGCGCTCAGTACTTGCAGGTCTGGTGACCTCAGCCGGCATCCCACAAGTTTGAGGTATTGTAAACCCTGAGGTAAACTACCAATTGGTTCACATTTATCTGTAAATAATAAGTCATGCAGGTTTAGTATATATCTAACAATTACCAATCATATGAAGATATATATAAACAATTTACATGTGTAATGCCTATTAAATTATATTGTTGCTTCTCTGATGATTTCTGCCTCTTATAATTACTGCATTATTAAAAATACACAGATTAATCACCTTTTGGTAAAACAGAATACTTGTATATCTACAACAATTTTAGCCTAGAATTATGTCTTATACACATGCTGTATCATTTACATTCAGAGAGATGCTTGCCCTGTTGCCAAATGTTATCCAACAGTTGGTATGAAAACATCATTCTCAGCTTCTGTTATGCTAGGGATGTTTTAATGAACTAGTAAATAAAATGCATGTCAATTTTTGGGCAAAAAACCAGCGTTGAATGTAATGAAACGACATTTTCTGGGTGAGCCCCGGAGGCTACCTGGAGCTTATCGGGCTAATGTATGTTATATTAGACCGGGACATTAGCTAAGGAGTTCAGACCTACCAGGGACCAGCGCCAGAACCTGGCCCCTTCAGAGAGGTTTCAGTGAGCAATGGCCCTGGAAAACCCCATATGGTTGGGGTTTTCCTTATCTGCCATCGACCGGGGATACGCACCCAGAAAGGTAGGCATAACAAAACAAATCCCACATGGTAAAAAACTTAAATAGAAATCCAAACAGAGAGGTAGAAACTCCTTACAATCCCAAGGAAACAAGCAAACATCACACTTTACTGCCGTGCTGATCATCCACGCAGCCCTCCCCGCGCCAAGAGGGGGAAGGGAAGCCTTGGACCTCACCACGCCAGCTGCCTAGCATCAGTTCGGAAGCTATCCTTCAACCAACGTGAAAAAACCACTGACCGGTGGGAGGGAGGGTTGCCAGGGAGCCTCTGGGGCTCACCCAGAAAATGGCATTTCATTACATTCAACGCTGGTTTTCTGTGGGGAGCCCCTACGGCTCCCTGGAGCTTCATACCCAAAGAGAAGGAAAAGAAAGGGCAGACCCGGGAGGTGGCTACAAACTCTGCAATGCGAAGCCGAGACAACAGGCTGCAAGCTGCGACCCAAGGCAACAAGAACGCACAGGAGCAGATGTGCATAAAGAACGGGAGGCCAGGAACCTGTGCGACCCTCAAATCCTCGCGCCCGAAATGAGCCCTAGACGTCACCAACACAGCAGCAAAAGCTGCAAACATCCGAACAGCACGGGCGCAAGGATAGACCGCAGGCTGGAAGACTTAAAACTCTGCAGGCGACCTGTAAGACCCGAGCCCTGAAACAGGGAACGAGGGAAACTGGATCAACCCAAAGCGCATCCTCAGACATGGTACACAGGTAACAGCAAAGAGGCGCAACCGGACAACACAGGACGCACCCCTGGCTGAACCAATCAAGCATCAATAACCCAAGGACCCCTCTGGAAAGCAGCCGTCTCGACAGTCACCAGAAGGACGGAGAAAGGCGGCAAACGTACAAACCTACCACTAGTACCAAAGAGCAGAAACCACTGCACCGGAAGAGCCGGAAGCTCCCCAACCTGACATGCAGAGGCCCATGCCAACAAAATATGGCCTATGAAAACCAAACTCGAACCGAAGGGGCTACCACAAACTGAGGAGAAGAAGATAAGAGGGCACCCTGATCAAGGACCAGGACGTCTCAGGCGACGCATGAGCAGGCCGGAGGTGAAACAAAACACGAGAAGGCATACAGAATGGAGCAGATGTGATTTCCACCCCGAACGCAAGCCGGAGCGGCTCCGCCAGCGCTGCACAAAACGAGGCGACAGTAAGAAACATCAAATAACTGTAGTCCTGAAAACCCAAGAAAAGACAAGACAACCCGATGCAAAAGAGATGACGACCTACGAAGAGCAAGAAAAAGGTGCATAGAAACACCAAGAACGTCATACTGTCGCCGAGACGAAGCTCGCAGGTGGGACACCATCAATGAAGCCACCTGATCACCAAAGAGATGGTGATACACCCGCGTCAAAATACCAGACGCGAAGAGTCGAGGAGAAGGTCGAACCAGTCACGTACAGGACCAGTCCGACCTGCCGAAAGAGGCGGAGCCGCGGGAAAACGCCCCGGGTTCGGACACCTATCAAGCAGCATCTGAAAATAAAGCTGGGCTGCCCACCAAAGGACCATGAGGACTACTCTCCTTGGGAATGGACTCCAACTGAGCCAGAACCCGAAGCAACAGCTGGACCGAGAGAAGAGGAATAGGTACCCTCCACCTCGACCAGTCCTGCCGAAAGGCATCCATAAGGAATGCGTCGCAGGCGGGTAAGGGTGCCACATAGAATGGGCGATGCCTAGACCACGCTGACGCAAAAATGTCCATGGCCAGGAGTCCATACATCCATCAGAGCCAACGAAACGCGTCGACGACGACTGGCCAATCCATGAACAAAGGAATGAACCGAGACAGGCTGTCCGCCAGAACGCAGGACACACCCCGGACATGAACTTCACGGCTAGCCAAACCCCGAGAATCCAGCAAACGAGCCACTTGAAGGGACCAACCCCAAAGGTCAAACACCTAAGAAAAACCCTGTGGGTCCGGCAAAGAACCACTAAAGAACAGTCCAAATGGTGCTGGATGGTAGAACACCGAGTGACCCGAACCATCCGAAGCACAAACCAGACAGCCACAAACTCCTGAACCGTGCTGCAAGCCAGACGGATGGACAGACCCCACTATCCTCGGCCGACCTGGTGAGCACTGATCACAAAGCCCCAGCCGAGAGAAGACCCGTCCATGAACACATCGAGCAAAGGCTCGGGGAGGTGCCAAGGCACGGAACCCCGAAAACTCCCAGAGAGGAAGCTGGTGACGCAGCACCAACACAAGATCCCCGGAGAACGACACCGACGAATGCAAGAGGCAGAATCTCCGAAGGAACTAAACAGATGCCAAAGCCAAACCTGACCCTGCGGGTAGAACAGCACGTCAAAATTCAGACTCCCACACAACCGCTCGAGCAACCGCCGAGCAACCCGGGACTCCCTCATAAACAGCCAAAACAGGACCACAGCCGCAGCAACAATTCTGGAGGGAAGGACAAGGAGTGGCGCAAGAGCCCTAAACAAGACCGAGCCAGGTCCGAACCTGGGACTGAAACAGATGGAATGGCCTCCAGATCACCAGGAAACCAAACCCGGCGATCTGGGAAGAACCACACCCCAAGCGAGCAGACAAGCGGACCGACTGGGAGCCCACACCAGCCAGTCGTCGAGGTAGGCCAGACACCGAATCCGAAGCAGACTCAGACAATGCACCAAGATCCGGTAAAGATGCGTAAATACACCAAGTGCCAATTACAAACTAGGGATGGCAACAAAAGCGGCAAGCCTGAAGCCCCAACACCAACTGTGTCAGTCCCGGAACCTTGGTAGGAACATGCCAAGAAGTGACCCGGAGATCCAGGGCCACCATCCAGGCACCCGGCCCCAACAGAAGCCGGACCGGAGACAACAGTCCTCCGATGAAGGCAAAGAATCCAGGGCGCAGACTGGATTTATATATAAATACTGAACACACACACAAGGTGTATTACACACGGGTGTATGTACATGCACATACATATGTACACACACTCACAAATGTACATGTACATGTGTACACACACATACACGTGAAAAGAAAAATACAACCCGCTGACCAGTGGGCAGAGAGCACCACGCCGGCCAGGCAAAGAAGGCACAAAGAAAGCACAAAACTGCATCAAAAGGCCCACCTCGACAGCAAAACACAAAGCCCCAGCACAATCAAAACATGTGCCAACACCAAAAAAAGATCAGCCTGCAAGCCAGGAAGACCCCGGAACCCCATAAGGCAGAACTGGGTCACACACGAGGAAACAAAACCCCTTGAACCCACAAAGGAGCCCAAGAGGAACAAACCTCAGGAACGAAGCCAAAAAACCCAAAGGAACCCGAAATTGAACCCGGGGGAGCCCAAACCACCACATTTGCCAGCGGAAATACACCACAGAAAAGCAAGGCACAGCCCCAGACAGAAACCCCAGGGAAACGGCCAAAACAGACCAAAAACCGAGGGACAAGGTGTGGGAGCAAGCATAAACAGACAGGGACACTGAGCCCAAACCCCAGGGGCCCAGACCCAAAACTGACAGAAAACGGAAAACCTGGTATAAAAACTAACACCCAAACGTTCCCAGAGGAACAGAAGACGGGCAGAAAACACCAGAAAAGCAAAGAAATGACAACAGGAGAATAAAACCCTTGAAAGAGGTGAAAAAGCTCACCCAAGACGCTCGCTCGCACACTCAGGCGCATATAAACAAACCGCCACGCTGCCCTGGTGGCCACGCTGGGAAACCGACAGAAAGAAAATGGCCACCAGAACAGGGGGATGTGACCGACGTAAAAGATATGAAAACACGCCAGCAAAAGTGAGAAGCAAGCAGACTAGATGAGCAAAAAACTCTGCCCAGAAGCAGGAAACCCCAGGCAGGGGCAAACAGCCCTAGAACTGCTAGCAGGCATCCCCCACAGCCCGGGGAACCCGCAACAGAGGCCCCGGGGCAGAGCCGTCCTCCAAGCCCTCCGCCCTTAAAGAAAAGTTAGAGTCCATGGGAAAGGCAGCAAGAAAGGGCTGCTGGTAAGACCCAGAAACCTTGGCAGGAGGAACAGGCTCGAAAACCTCCGTCCCCAACCCGAACGAGGCAGCCCCCGAAACCGCCCGAGTCTTGGCCCCAGCTAAACCCCGTCCCGACCCCGAAACCCGCAGACGGTCCGGAGCCGGGAACAGGGAGGGAAAGGGGCGAACAGCACCTAAGCAAAACGGGGCGGCCCCGGGGCATCCGTGTGGGAAACCAACCTAGCGCGTTGCAGCAACCTAACCTAGCTTGCAACATGGATGCCGTCTGTACTATGAACAGTAATAACATCAGGAGAGTACTGGAGAACAAGCAGAGAATCTCTCGCAAGACTCCGGGTCAAAGTGTCAGGGACCCAACAGGCAGCATGACGGAGGTAAAAGTGGTGACTGTCACCCGGAGACAGAGGCACAGCAACCAACAAACCCGCACAAGACAGGTTGGAACCCGGAAGACACATTAAATGGTCCACCGAGCCCAGACAGGGGTTTCCAGGGCCCGTAGGGTAACAACTACAGGAGCCCGGGCAAGGTGTTGCTAAAAGGTTAAACACCCAAAAATAACAAGGGGGTAGAGGACAACACTGAAAACCCCTGCGACGTGTACAATCACGGGGGCCTAGCATAGGGCCACCAAACACTACAAGTGGAACAATAGCCACACATGGCAGATCCCCCACCCCCACCAGGCAAATGAAAATAAAAACAAAAGGAAAAACCCTGCAAAAGTACACCGTCCCCAAAGGCAACAGGAACCGGTCGCCGCTTAGGTGGCAGGTCGCGCAACACCTTGACGCCCTAACCAGCACAATACCAGTCCCTACCCAGGGCCAAACAAGGGCCCCAAGCCCCAGCTGGCCCCAAGGGCGAGGCAAATGCCGAGCAGCAAAAACCTCTACGGGAATGGTTCCCAAACACCCCAGGGAAGATAACCCTGTTACGCAGGGGCAGTACTCACAGGGCGCTTAGGGAAGGAAGCCTCTAAGCGCATGCAGCCCTGGTACTGATGAGGAACACCCGGCCACCGCACAATACAACACACGGCAGTGAACGCCACACAAGGCAAACACTGCCTAGGAAACTGAGGCCAGAGAAGCATCTATCCCAGTTGACATTAGCTTACGAACTAATGCTAGGCAGCCGGCGTGGTGAGGTCTGGGGCTTCCCCCTTCCTTTCTCAGGGCGGGGAGGGCTGCGCAGACGATCGGCACGGCAGTAAAGTGTGATGTTAGCTTGTTTGCTTGTTTCCTTGGAATTGTAGGGAGTTTCTACCTCTCTGTTCGTTTTTTTGTTTTAGTTTTTTACCATGTGGGGTTTGTTTTGTTATGCCTACCTTTCTGGGTGCCTAACCCCGGTCGATGGCAGATAAGGAAAACCCCAACCACAAGGGGGTTTATCAGGGCCATTGCTCCCTGAAACTTCTCTGAAGGGGCCAGGTTCTGGCGCTGGTCCCTGGTAGGTCTGAACTCCTTAGCTAATGTCCCGGTCTAATATAACATACATTAGCCCGATAAGCTCTAGGGAGCCGTAGGGGCTCCCTGCAGAAAAGCCAAGCAACCTTCAAGGAATTTGACCTCACCAGTGATGAGGTCACGAGGAATCTGTTGGAATTGAATGTGACAAAGCTGTTGGGCCTGACAGAATCTCACTATGCATACTAAATGAAGGTGCAGAGGCACTAAGTGTGCCACTCTCTATGGTGTATAATATGTCACTGGAAACAGGAGACCCACTGGAAAGCTGGAAGACAGCTAATGTAGTCCCAAAATATAAAAAGGGTGACAGGCAAGAGGCACTGAACTACAGGCCAGTTTCCTAACTTGTATACATGCAAGGTGATGGAGAATATCATGAGTAAAAGGGTCGTTGAGCATCTGGAGGGAAATAGCTTTGTAACACACCACCAGCATGGGTTCAGAGATGGTAAATAGTCCCTCACAGGTTTAACAGAATTCTATGACCAAGCAACAAAAATTAGGCAAGAGAAGAGAAGAGTGGGCAGACTGCATTTTCTTGGACTGTCAGCAAGCCTTTGACACAGTACCCCATAAAAGGCTGTTACAAAAGTTGGAGCAACAGGCAAGTGTAAAACATAAGGTGCTTCAGTAGATAAGGGAAAATCTGAGCAACAGGAAACAGCAAGTAACCATGAGGGGAGACATCAGAGTGCCAAGATGTCACTAGCAGAGTCCCACAGGGCTCTGTACTTGGACCTATCCTGTTTCTAATATATGTAAAAGATCGTCCAGAGGTTATAGACTCATTCCTCTCAATGTTTGCTGATGATGCAAATATTATGAGAAAAATCAAGACAGATGAAGATAAACAAAGACTACAGGATGATTAGGGCAAACTGGAGAAATTGTTTAGAAAATGGTACTAAAGTTCAACTCAGGAAAGTGTAAAGTAATGAAATTTTACATTTTCTTGCAGGAGGTGAAATCCTGCAAGAGTCAAATAGAGAGAACGATCTGGGGATTGGTATCCTGGTTGATACCTGCTTGATGGGGTTCTGGGAGTTCTTCTACTCTCCAAGCCCGGCCCGAGGCCAGGCTTGACTTGTGAGAGTTTGGTCCACTAGGCTGTTGCTTGGAGCGGCCCGCAGGCCCACATACCCACCACAGCCCGGTTGGTCCGGCACTCCTTGGAGGAATAAATCTAGTTTCCTCTTGAAAATGTCCACGGTTGTTCCGGCAATATTTCTTATGCTTGCTGGGAGGACGTTGAACAACCGCGGACCTCTGATGTTTATACAGTGTTCTCTGATTGTGCCTATGGCACCTCTGCTCTTCACTGGTTCTATTCTACATTTTCTTTTTCTTCTATCACACCAAACCTGTCCCCAGAGGCCCACATCAAAAGGATACCATCAGCAGCATATGCTTGATTAGCCAACATAAGAACTGCCTTTAGAAACTTGTGTAAGGAATTGTCCAGGACCTTGTATACCACTTATGTCAGACCAATCCTGGAATATGCAACTCCAGCCTGGAGTTCATACCTAGTTAAACACAAGACAAAGTTAGAGAAGATTCAGATATATGCCACCAGACTAGTCTCGAAACTGAGAGGTATGATCTACAAGGAAAGACTAAGGGAGCTGAACCTCAAGTCTCTAGAAAACAGAAGAGTAAAGGGAGACATGATAACCACCTATAAAATTCTCAGGGGAATTGACAGGGTGAACTCTTTAGCACGGGTGGAACACAGACAAGGGGAACAGGTGAAAACTTAGTAACCAAATGAGTCACAGAGACATTAGAAAGAATTTTTTCAGTGTCAGAGTAGTTAACAAATGGAATAAATTAAGCAGTGATGTGGTGGAGGCTGACTCCATACAAAGTTTCAAAAGTAGATTTAACAGAGCCCTGTAGACTCAGGAATCTGTACACCAGTTGATTGACGGTTGAGAGGCGGGACCAAAGAGCCAAAAGCTCAACCCCCGCAAGCACAACTAGGCAAGTGCAGGAATGCAATGAAAACTAATTTTATGTAATATTTCATATATACTGTATAAAAAAAATTCAAGGGCTCTAAATATCTACACTATACCATCCTGCAATGTTGCATATCAACCCAGAACCAAAATAAGCTTCTGGCATATCTAGATATTCCATGTTAGATTATAAACAAAACATACTCTACTAACCTCTAACATTTATTCCAGAAAGATTGAGCTCACGGAGACGAGGCAACTGTGACAGGAAGTGAAGAGAGGTGACAGTCGGGTTGTATGCTAAACTCAGGCTGGTGAGTGACTTCGACATGTAGGAAAGTGATGCCAACTGACCACTGCTCAGCCCACACATTTCTAATTCAAGGCATTCTGTTCCCTGAAAAGTCAATCTTTCCTCATCAAGATGAAGGATAATAAACAACATAATAAGCAGAAAGTAGGTCACAATAACATGATTTTCTTTATTTTCAGATGTGTGGGTTGCATTTCTTAAGACATAATAATAATTACTGCAGTCAAAAAACCGGCATTGAATGTAATGAAACACCATTTTCTGGGTGAGTTCCGGAGGCTCCCCGGAGCTATCCAGGCTGAATGGATATGTATAACTTTCTGGCATCAGTCAATGCATGGAGTTCTTGCCTACCGGGGACCACGAGCCAGAACCTGGCCCCCTCTAGAGAGGCACGAGGAGCAATGGCCTATAGAGACCCCCCCTTATGATTGGGAGCATTCTATGTCTGCCATCGACCAGGACAGGCACCCAGAAAGGTAGGCGCCCCAAAACAAACCCATATATATAGTTCTAATATATATAGTTCCATATATATAGTTCGGTCGCAATAGTTCTGGTAAACTATTGCGACCGAAGACCGAACAGGTGGACAGAACTCCCCAAACGAAAATTACCCCTCATGACATCATCATGTCGCCGTGCCACCGTCTGCGCAACCCCCCCCCTCCCCGGAGGGGGAAGGGGGGAGCCCCAGACCCCTTACCTTACCTTACCTTACCCCACCGTCGGCGACCCAACCATTAGCTCTTAGGCTGGATGTCAAAAACGCAAAAAACACCGCCGACCGGAGGGAGGAAGGGATGCCGGGAAGCCTCCGGGACTCACCCAGAAAATGGCGTTTCATTACATTCAACGCTGGTTTTCTGGGGGGAGCCCCTTTGGCTCCCCGGAGCTAACTACCCAAAGATAAGGAAAAAACAGGGACTTACCCGGGCGGCGGGCCGTCCTCACTCCTCAACACGAAGGCGAGACAACTGGCTGCAACCGCTTTCGCGGTTTCAGCCAGTTGTCTCGCCTTCGAACCGCGAACGAACCGGCGGCCCTTACGAGACCCAGAACCTCGCACAGAGCGAACACTGGGCCGACCAGACGAAGGCGGGACCGAAGGCGGGGCCGGACCCGAACCTGGCACTAGTGGCCTACTACAATGAGAGGAACCCCGAGCCCTAGCACGACCCCTCCCCCCAGGAAGGCCCCCCCAGGACCCCCGGAGAACCAACAAGTCAGACATAGGACGACAAGTAGCTGAAGCAGCTTGTATATACTGCACCATGGTCGAATCCTTAAAAAGCAGAAGACATCCCAAGAGCCAGGGCCCAGGCAGATTCCAGAGAGGAGGCAAGCACCACCTGCCAACACACGAGCCGGGAAGCATAAAACAGGGAAACTGCATCCCGCAAAATCGGCGCAAAAAGCTTCAACAAGACAGCCGACGAGCGATTCGCCAAGCACAAGGCACTGGACCCAGGAATGGCCCCAAGCATCCCTACATCCTCTGCAAGCCAATCCGAAGACAGCTCCAGGAGAGAAAAGAAACACAAGGTCGAAGCCAAAAGGCTACGGGCGTGCAAGTCCTCAGCAACCTGCGTCGCCGAAAGGGAAAGAACCTGCACATGGAGCTGCAGCATGCCAACATCCCAGGAAAGGGCCAGGGCAAACAAACACTCATTGAGGTGCTTAGGATCGCACCCCCCACCCCAGGAAAACCTGAACCACCGTCGAAGCCTCACGCCACTCAAGCGTGCAGGTACGACAGAAGGAATGCCAAGCCTCCAAAGCAAACACAGGACGGTCCGCCAGCCAGAATGACTCCGTAACCTCATAATGGACCCAAAAAGGGAACGACGGTGCAAACCTGAATGAAGATGGATCAATAAGTGAGGCATAATCCGGGTTGCGCAGGAGGTAAGCCGCTAGGGCCACCCGCACCGCAGATGGTTGGATGCGGTAAGACAAAAACCTCCGAAAGGACAGAACCAATGCACCCGGGGGGACACGGAACCGAACCCGGGAAGGGGCAGACACCAAATCCAACTCGTACGCAGAGGGGGGAAAAAAGAGAACCCCCACTCCTTGTAACAGCAAGCCCTGCTCAGAAGGCAGAAAAACCCAGGCGGGGTCCAATAGGGGCCCAAGGCCCCCAAAGTCAGCCCCTCCCCACACCCAGGGTCCTCCTCCACAGGACCTGGGGCCGAGTCATCCCCCAACGCACCGGCCTCAAAAGAAAAAGCCGGTGTAGCCTCGTAAGCCGGACGGAAGGGCTTGATACCTGCTTGATGGGGTTCTGGGAGTTGTTCTACTCCCCAAGCCTGGCCCGAGGCCAGGCTCGACTTGTGAGAGTTTGGTCCACCAGGCTGTTGCTTGGAGCGGCCTGCAGGGCCACATACCCAACACAGCCCGGCTGATCCGGAACTTCTTGTAGAAAACAGTCCAATTTACTCTTGAAGATGTCCACGGTTGTTCCGGCAATATTTCTTATAGTCGATGGGAGGACGTTGAACAACCATGGACCTCTGATGTTTATACAGTGCTCTCTGATTGTGCCTATGGCATCTCTGCTCTTCACTGGTTCAATCTTGCATTTTCTTTCATATCGTTTACTCCAGTACGTTGTTATCTTACTGTGTAGATTTGGGACCTGGCCCTCCAGTATTTTCCATGTGTATATTATTTGGTATCTCTCTCGTCTCCTTTCTAGAGAGTACATTTCGAGAGCTTTGAGACGATCCCAATAATTTAGGTGTTTCATCTCGTCTATGCGTGCCGTATATGTTCTCTGTATTCCCTCTATTTCAGCAATCTCTCCTGCTCTGAAGGGGGAAGTGAGTACTGAGTAGCACTCGAGACGGGACAACACAAGTGACTTGAAGAGTACAACCATTGTGATGGGATCCCTGGATTTGAAAGTTCTCGTAATCCATCCGATCATTTTTCTGGCTGACGCAATATTTGCTTGGTTATGCTCCCTAAACGTTAGATCGTCGGACATCATTATTCCCAAATCCTTGACATGCTGTTTTTCTACTATGGGAAGATTTGATTGTGTTTTGTACCCTGTATTATGTTCCAGATCCTCATTTTTGCCGTACCTGAGTACCTGAAATTTATCACTGTTAAGGGGGTCCACTGGTCAGACCCGGAGGCTGCAGCAGGGAGATTGAACTCTAATGCCTCCATTGCTACACCGGAAGGGGCATCCCCCGAGACTGCCCGAGTCTCAAGACCATCTAAATCCTGCCTCGGCTCCGAAACCCTCAGATGCTTTGGGGCCAGAAGCAGGAGGGTTGGGGAGGGGAACCAGGATGAACCAGAACAGGGGAAGGACAAGGGGGCGCGGACTGAACCAAGATCGAAGCGACCCCCACCCCAAAGTCCGGGTCCCTATAAGCAAAACGGGGCAGCCTCAGGGCATCCGGGTGAGCAACCAACCGAGCACGTTGCAACAATCTAAAGCACACAAGCAACGTCTGTACCGCCTGTCCCCGTAAAAGATCATCATTAGACTGGGTAAACTGAGTCACTAGCAAGCAACAGAACTCGCAGGACTCTGGGTTGAAAGTGTCACTGACCCAACAGGCAGCGTGACGGAGGCAAAAACAGTGAGGGTCGCCCTGAGACAAGGGGACCGAGCAACCCTCAAACTCGCACAAAGTGAGAGGGGACTCTGGGGGTCACATCCATCAGACCCACGCGCCCCTGTGGGGTTTCCCCAGGGTTCTGAGACGGTTCTCACGCTCAGGAAATCCCAGGCAGGGTACTGCTGACCGGCGCCCAAAAGTACCAAGCAACTGCCTAAAGCTGAACCCCAGGGACGTGTACACTCATGAGGACCTAGCAGAGGGGCACCACCAGAAAAACTGTATCAGGTCAGACACCAAGGGGCAAGCAAGGCAGACCCCCCTACAAGGCAAAAACAAAAAGAAAAACAAAACCCTGCAAGAGGCCAATGTACCCCAAGGACAGAGCCGGCCGTTTTGAGTGGTGAAAACAAGCTGCACAGCACCCTGTGCCCCATACCAGTGCAAACTGCCTCTTACCCTAAGGTAAACAAGGGAGACAAAACACCCAAGCACCCAAAGGGCGGCCAAAAAACCGAGCAGTTAAACAGCCCAACAGAGGCAGTACCCAAGGAACTTATGGAAGGTAACCCCAAGCCCCAAGGGCAGAACTTGGGGTTACCCGAGTACTGTAGAATCACTCCTGGCTCTCGCACCCATGGAAGACAGCCACCACACTCGAAGCACAGTGCTGAAAAAACCACTGGAGCCAGATCACATGACCGCTGCCTCTAGCATCAGCCTTAGAACTAACGGGTGGATAGCCGGCGTGAGGGGTCAAGGGCTTCCCCTTCCCCCTCCCGGGAGGGATAGCTGCTCAGACAGTAGCGCGGTGACATGTTACGTCATGCTCGTTTGCTCGTTTCTTTTTGGGGAGTTCTATCCACTTGTTCAACTTTTGGTAGTAAATTTTACCAGAATAGGAGTTTGTTTTGGGACGCTTACCTTTCTGGGTGCCTGACATAGAATGCTTCCAACCACACGGGGGTTTCTATAGGCCATTGCTCCCACTGCCTCTCTGAGGGGGACAGGTTCTGGCTCGTAGTCCCCGGTAGGCCCATAGAACTCCATACACATGACTGATGCCAAAGTCTGACAATAGCATATCAGCCTGGATAAGCTCCAGGGAGCCGAAGAGGCTCCCCCCAGAAAAATATAAAACTGAAACAATGCACAGAAAATTAATAGGGTACAAAAGAGATAAAAGCCAACTTGAAGGATTCTTCACATTAAAAAGCGAAGAATTATTATCTTGTTATTAACCCTTAAAATATAGTTAGCATCACAAGCTGATTCACAGGGTAAAATGTTTATCCTCACATGTTGATTTTAGATATTATTGTCTGATTTTTATACCTATTATGATAATAAGGATATAGTAGCTCTTTATAGTTGCAGTAGAGCTTACATAGCTAGACCAATGAAAACAACCAGTGTCGAATGTAATGAAATGCCAATTTCTAGGTAATTATGTAAGTAATTACCTTAGTGTAGTTACAGGGTGAGAGCTACGCTCATAGTGTCCCATCATTAACAGTACTTGTTGTCATATATCAGTTTGAAACTACTGATGATTCTGTCCTCGACAACTTTTTCACTTATTAGCTTTTTCCAACTATCTGTTTGTGAAAGTGAATTTTCTGATATTTTTTTGGCAGTCTTATTATTTAGCTTAAATCTATGACCTCCTGTTCTTGAAGTTCCAGGTCTCAAGTGTTTCCTTATCAATTATGTTGATTTCTGTTCCTATTTTGTACGTAGTGATCATATCAACTCTTTTTCTTCTATCTTCTAGCTTTTGTATATATAATGTCTTTAACCTCTCCTCGTAGGTCTTGTCTTTCAGTTCCAGAAATTATTTAGTTGTATGTTTGAACCTTTTCCAGTTTTTTCATGTGTTTCTTAAGATATGGGCACAATACAACACTGCACATTCAAGCTTTGGTCTCACAAAGGTCGTGAACAATTTCTTTAGTATTTCACCATCCATGTATTTAAAAGCACTTCTGAAATTGTAAAGCATACCATTGGCTCCTCTCACGGTGTTCTTTGTGGTCCTCAGGGGACAGTTTTCATCTAGAACCACCCCTTGATCTCTTTCTTTATCATAATTTTTTAAAGCTTTTTCACTTAATTTGGAGGTTGTGTGGGTTCCATTTTCTCCTACTAAAATTCCATAATGTGGCATTTATTCACACTAAATTCTATTTGCCAAGTGGTGTTCTATACACTTATTTTATCCAGGTCTCCTTGAAGGGCAAGACAATCGTCTAAGTTTCTTATTATCCGCTAGTATCTTAGCATCATCAGTAAATATGTTCATATAATTATGTATTCATTCTGGTGGGTCATTTATGTAGACAATGAACATTACCGGTGCAAGAACTAAACCCTGTGGTACTCCACTCGTGACATTTCTCCAATTCGATACATTATCTCGGATTACTGCCCTCATTTTTATTGTCAGTTAGAAAAATTTTCATCCATGTTAGAAGCCTCCATGTCACTCCTCCAATATGTTCCAGTTTCCAGAACAACTTGTTATGTGTCAAAAGCCTTTTCTGGGGGAAGCCCTGTCGGCTCCCCAGAGCTATCCAGGCTGATATGTATCTATTAGTTTTCTGGCATCAGTCATAGTACATGGAGTTCTTGCCTACCGGGGACTGCAAGCCCGAACCTGGCCCCCTCAGAAAGGCACGAGGAGCATTTGGCCAATAAAAACCCCCGTGTGGTTGGGAGCATTCTATGTCTGCCATCAACCAGGTCTGGTACCCAGAAAGGTAGGCACCCCAAAACAAAACCCCCTATTCTGGTGAAAATATTGCTACCGAAAGCCGAACGAGTGGACAGAACTCCCCAAACAAAAATTAGCAAACGAGCATGATGTCATCACATTGCTGCGCCGCTGTCTGCGCAACCCCCCCTCCCCGGGAGGGGAATGTGGGAGCCCCAAACCACCTCACCAGTGATCCAACCGGCAGTTCTTGGCTGATGTGATACTGGCAGGTCATGTGCCTCTGGCTCCTGCTTTAATTTCATTTACTGTGCCTTGTGGTGTGGTCTGTCTCTACAGGTGGTGTGTGAGCCAGGAGTAATATTCTACGGTACTCGGGCTGCATGCGCCTAAGGTTTCCTTCCCTAGGTGCTTTGTAAGTACTGCCCTTGGGGCTTGGGGCCACCTTCCACAAGCCACCTTGGGACCTACTTCCGCTGTATCTTTTACTGCTCGGTACTTAGCCACTCTTGGAGTCGGCTGGGGTTTTTGTTGCCCTTGTTTGCCTCTGGGTAGGAGGTAGTTTTTGTCACTGGTAAGGGCGCGGGGTACTGCACAGCTAGTTATCACCTATTATAGCGGCCGGCTCTGTTCCGCCTGGGTACGTTGTCCTCTTGCGGGGTTTTTCTTTTGTTTTTGTTTTCCTGCCTAGTGAGGGGGGTACTACCTTTGGTTGGTTGCCCCTTTGTACAATTGGGGTCTTTCTATATACATCTCTGTGTTCTTGGTGGTACCCCCTGCTAGGCCTCTGTGAGTGGACACATCCCGAGGGTTCAGTTTTTAGAAGTTTACTCGGTAGTTTTGAGCGCCAGTTCGCAGTACCCTGCCTGGGCTTCCCTTAGCATGATACCAATTCTAAGGACCCTGAGAAACCCTGCAGGGGGCTCCATGGTCCAATGGATGCGACCCTTGCGCCCCCCTCTCACTTCGTGCAAAGTTGATGGTCGATCTTTACCTTTGTCTCAGGGTGACAATCACAGTTTGTGCCTCTGCCATGCTGCCTGTTGGGTCGACGATCCTTTTGACCTGGAGTCGTGCGACGCTTGTTCTTTGTACGTGCTCCAGTTCACCCAAGCTACTGAACGTGATATGAGGGTGCAGGCTGCTGAGGCATTACATGCTCAGTTTAGGTTCCTGCAACGTGATAGGTTCGTTGCTTCCCCGGATGCCCTGAGACTGCCCCGTCTTGGTTATAGGAACCCGGAATTGGGGGTGGGAGTAGCCTCGACTTTGGTTCCATCCACCCCTCCTAGTCCTTCCCCTTCTGTTGTGCATCCGGTTTCTCCCCCCTTGCTTCTGGCTCCAAAACGTCTGAGGGTTACGAAGTCGGGGACAGGGTCACGTTGGTGTTGAGACTCAGGCGGTCTCGGGGATGTTCCCTTCCGGGGTGGTAGCAGAGGCATTCGAATCTAGTTCTCCAGCCAGAGTTTACGAGTCTGAAGCTCGGGTTCGTTATGAAGTTCCGAAGTCTTCTTGGTTAGCAGACTGCCCGCTCTTCTCACTGAAGGCTTGGCATATGTTCAGTCGGCCCAGCATGCTTGGGTGGAGGGAGGCTCAGATGGAGTTGCAAGTTTTCCTGGGGGGCAAATTTGAGGTGTGATGCAGCTTCATGTGCAGGTTCCTTCCCTTTTGGCTGCCTTGGTCGCAGAGGATTTGCGTACACATGGCCTGCTGGCTTCGGCCCTGTGTTTCTTCTCCCTTCTCAAGCTGTCCTCGGATTGCCTTGAGTGGAGGATGTGAAGGAGCTTGGGGTCGCCTCTGGGTCGGATGTGTTGCCCTCGGCAGTACCTGCATTGTCTGCATTGTTGAAGCTGTTCACTCTCCTGCTGGATACAGTTTTGCGTTTATTTTCTTCTCGCCTCGCGTGTCAGCAGGTGATGCTCACTTCTTCCTTGGAATCTGCATGGGCCCTGGCTCTTAGGTTGTCTTTGCCTTTAATCAGTTGCTGTTTGCAGAGTCTGAGGCTGTGCAGTTTCTGAAGGCAGCTTCACCTAGTTGTTGTCCTATGTCAGACTTGTTAGTCCTCCTGGGGGGGGGGGCTCATGTGCTCCATGTCAGTCTTGTTAGTCCTCCTGGGGGCACTACTCTTCCTGGAAGAGTAGTGCCAGGGCTCAGGGTTCTTCCCATCGTGGTAGGCCAGTGGTGCCAGATTTGGGGCAGGTGCAGCCTTCAGTACCGTCTTTTTCTGGTCAGCACGGGGATTGCCCTGTGCACCGCTTAGGTTCTTGTAAGGTGCATCGGCCCTTTCGCAGTTCGTCCCACTGACGGGAGATGCGGGAGGGAGCGCTCGCTCTGTTTGCTCGTGCCTAGGTCCCAAGATTTGTGGGCCTTTTGGGTCATTTCGCGCGGCCTGTGGTGGCGTTGGGTGGCTCCTCCTTCAGGGGGAGTTCGGGTCTGGCTGGGCAGGCCTCTGTGGGTGTTCCCACAAATGCATCAAACTTAGTACACTTGGATCTAATTGTTGTGTAGATATACACCATGAAACCTTAAAATTAATGTACCCTATGTTTGTAATGCAATATAGTACAAACAGTGAAATGGGATAACCAGCGCAAGATATAAATCCTTAAATTTAATCAAGAAAGAACTGTGTATATCTGTTTTCATTCAATTTTAAGCCTATTTCATAGCTATGATAATGTAGCTTACATTATTTCCAAGCAGTTGCAACACATGTGCAATACAATTGATGGGTGCAGACGTTATGTGGACTTTCCTGAATGTGACGACTAAGCCAGCACCATGGTGACGACTCAGTGTGCACACAATGCCAAGAGCTTCAAACTGACTCTCTGTTTCTTTATCTAGCCTCACGTCTACCATTATTTCACCTGGAACAAAAATCAAGTATTGAATGTAATGAGATGCTCCTTACTGGTGGGTCATTCGGTAGCTCCCAGGTGACGGGAACCTACCGGGGACCCCCTCACAGGTATCACGGAGTATCAACAGTCTGCATATTCCCTTATATTAAACTTAACAGACAATGTACAGACTACTTCACAAAGCACTTCACCAGTAATACCTTGTATCCATTTCAAGGAGCAGACAGATCTTTTTGCCAAAGCCGAATGGATTGCTAAACCTGAGACAGCATCACCTGATCAAAGTGTCAAACAGGCTTTATAGAAGCTGGTCGTCACTACCCTCAGGAGGAGTGGAGAGAGCAACTTAAGCACAGCATCAGCCCAAAGGTACACTACAGAAGCCAAGACTGGCACACCTTTAAGTCCAAAGAGGCCTAAGAAATTGATAGCAACAGCTAATCTATATGCAACTGCAACATGCTGACATTACACAGCAGGGAAAGAGCAAATAATGTGGCATTCAAGAAACCAAACACGGCACCCCAAGAAAATGTTAAAAACCTGCTCAACCTCACACCAGTCCAAAAATCGCAAATGGCAGAAAGCATACCATGTCCCAAAAGTAAAAGCAGGTTGTCTGACAGCCAGGAAGAGACTGAAATTGCAAACTGCAAACTCAGATGATGATGCTGGGAAAGAACCAGATCCTTGGCTAGCATATATGAGGACTGCCTGGGAGCCCACACTAGCCTCCAAGGGAAAACAAAGGACAGTGTGCCAACCAGGACGACTCAAGAACCTCAAAACACACCCAAAAATAGGAAGAAGAACCAAACTCAAAATGAGGCCAGGTCCATCACCGAGGCGTAATCCTCGCCTCGGGGGACGAGAATGATGAACCATGCCCACCGGGGAAGGAAGAGGTGCTGACAGAACCACGGGAAGACCGTGGTTCGACCCAAGGGAAGACACAGCCTAAGACCACCAGCTTAGGATGCCTGGTCAGAGACCGGGCTATGGGGACACTGCTTCTCTAAATCTCTAACAGGTAGTCAACAGGTAGGTACCTGAAGGGCAAGGGTTACAACACGTGAGAAGACTACTAAGGGAGTAAACCCCGAACACTCCAGGGAAGATAACCTTGGCAGTTCAATGGCAGTAGTTAAGGAGCAATCAGGGAAGAGAACCCAGACTATATTCAGCTGTAGCAAACTCCAAGACACAAGGGTATGCACCAACTCACATGTGAAGCATAACAAAGAACACAAGCAAAGAACACAAATGTGGACAAAACGAAAAGTGGACAAAGTGGATGAAAAAATTATCTGTACAAGCAGAAATTGGGTCTAATGAGTGTGAAGCAACTTGTCAGCAGGGAAGCGTGTTCATCATTTCCAAGTAATAGTGGGAGTAGCCAAGTAAACAGTGGGAGTGGCTGGATAAGCAGACAAAGTAACCAGGTTGCAATACAAAATTTGCAAGTCTGTTAATTTTTTACATTTCTGGAAAAACCAGCGTTGAATGTATATACAACGCCATTTTCTGGGAGAGCCCCGGAGGCTCCCTGGAGCTTATCGGGCTAATGTATGTTATATTAGACCGGGACATTACCTAAGGAGTTCAGACCTACCAGGGACCAGCGCCATAACCTGGCCCCTTCAGAGAGGTTTCAGGGAGCAATGGCCCTGGAAAACCCCCTTGTGGTTGGGAATTTACTTATCTGCCATCGACCGGGGTTAGGCACCCAGAAAGGTAGCAATAACAAAACAAACCCCACATGGTAAAAAACTAAAACAAAAAACCGAACAGAGAGGTAGAAACTCCCTACAATCACAAGGAAACAAGCAAACATCACACTTTACTGCTGCGCCGATCGTCCGCGCAGCCCTCCCCGCCCCAAGAGGGGGAGGGGGGAGCCCCAGACCTACCACGCCGGCTGCCAAGCTTCAGTTCGGAAGCTAAGCTTCAACCAACGCGAAAAAACTGCCGACCGTTGGAAGGGAGGTTTACCAGGGAGCCTCCGGGGCTCACCCAGAAAGTGGCGTTTCATTACATTCAATGCTGGTTTTCTGTGGGGAGCCCCTACGGATCCCTGAAGCTTCATACCCAAAGAGAAGGAAAAGAAAGGGCTAACCCGGGAGGCGGCTGCCACAAACTCTGCAACGCAAAGCCGAGACAACAGGTTGCAACCTGCGACCCAAGGCAACAAGAACGCACAGGAGCAGACGCGCATAAAGAATGGGCGGCCAAGAACCTGTGCGACCCTCAAATCCCTGCGCCCGAAATGAGCCCTAGACGTCGCCAACACAGCAGCAAAAGCTGCAAACGTCTGAACAGCACGGGCGCAAAGACAGACCGCAGGCTGGAAGAATGAAAAACTCTGCGGACGACCTGGGAGACCCGAGCCCTGAAAACAGGGAACGAGGGGAACCGGATCAACCACAGCGCATCCCCAGACACGGTACGCAGGCAACGGCAAAAAGCCCAACCGGATATCATAGGACGCACCCTCGGCCAAACCAATCAAGCATCAATAACCCAAGAACCCCTCCGGAAAGCAGCCGTCTCGATCGTCGCCAGGACGGAGAAAGGCCGCACACGTACAAATCTACCACCAGTACCAAAGAGCAGAAACCTGAACGGAAGGGGCTACCACAAACTGAGAAGATAAGAAGGCACCCTGATCAAGGACCAGAACGGCTCAGGGGACGCATGAGCAGGCCAGAGGTGAAACAAAACACGAGAAAGCGTACAAAACGTCATACTGTCGCCAAGAAGAAGCTCGCAGGTGGGACACTGTCAACAAAGCCATTGGAACACCACAGAGATGGTGATACCCACGTCAAAATACCAGACGCGAAGAGCCGAGGAGAAGGCCGAACCAGTCACGTACAGGACCGATTCGACCTGCTGAAAGAGGCGGAGCCGCGGAAAAACGCCCCGGGTTCGGACACCTATCAAGCAGCGTCTGAAAATAAGGCTGGGCCAGCCACCAAGGAACCATAAGGACTGCTCTCGTGGGAATGGGCTGCAACCGAGCCAGAACCCGAAGCAACAACTGGACCGGGAGAAGAGGAGCACGTACCCCCACCTCAACCAGTCCTGGCGAAAAGCATCCACCGTGAATGCCTCGCGGGTGGGAAAGGGCACCACAGAAAATGGACAACGCGTAGAACACGCAGACTCAAAGACATCCACGGCCAGGAGTCCATACGTCCGACAGAGCCAACAAATCGAGTCGGCGACAACTGGCCAATCAGCGAAGAGAGGAATGAACCGGAACAGCTGTCCGCCGGGACGCAGGACACACCCTGGACATGAACTGCATGGTTAGCCAAATCCCTGTGGTTCCGGCAAGAACCGCCAGAAAACAGTCCGAATAGAGCTGAATAGAAGAGCAGCGAGTGACCCAAACCCTCCGAAGTGCAAACCAGACAGCCACGAACTCCCGAACCGTGCTGTGACCCAGACGGACGGACAGACTCCACCAACCTCGGCCGACCTGGTTAGCACTGGTCACAAACCCCCAGCCGAGAGATGACCCGTCCATGAACACATCGAGCGAAGGCTCGGGGAGGTGCCAAGGCACGGAACCCCGAAAACCCCAAAGAGGAAGCTGGTGACGCAGCACCAACACAAGATCCCCGGAGGAACGAACCCAACGAATGCAAGAGGCGGAAGGGGAGTCTCCGAAGGAACCAAACAGACGCTGAAGCCAAACCCGACTCTGCAGGCAGACCGAAGTTCAGACTCCCGCACAACTGCTCAAGCAACCGCTGAGCAACCCGGGACCCCCTCATGTACAGCCGAAGGCGGGACCACAGCCGCAGTAACACTTCTGGAGGGAAAGACAATGAGTGGCCCAATAGCCCTAAACAAGGCCCAGGACCGAACCCGGGACAGAAACAGATGGAAAAGTCTCCAGATCACCAGGAAACCAAACCCGGCGATCTGGAAGGAACCACACCCCTGGCGAGTAGAACAAGCGGACTGACTGAGAGCCCACACCAGCCAGTCGTCGAGGTAGGCCAGACACCGAATCTCAGCAGACTCAGACAGGGCACTAAGATCCGGTAAAGATGCAAAAAATAAAAATATATACCAAGTGCCAATTACAAAATAGGGAAAGCAACAAAAGCAGTAAGCCTGAAGCCCCACCACCAACTGTGCCAGTCTCGGAAAACTGGAGAGGAACGTGCCAAGAATTGACCTGGAGGTCCAGGGCCACAATCCAGGCACCCGGCCCCAACAGAAGCCGGACAGGAGACAACAGTCCTCCGAGGAGGGCATAGAATCCAGGGCGCAGACTGAAGAAGTCCAGATGCGAAAGGCCCATGACTGCAAAGAGCAGACGGGAACCCCAGAGGGATGGGGTGGATCGACCACGTCCAGCTCTCCCACTAAGATGACATGACGAAGCGCAGGGGAAGCAGCCCACCCCGCCAGCTCTGAACCCCCCAAAGGGGAAGAAGCCGTCCACCGACGCCACCAGAGGCCGGAAGACAACCAAGAGCGCCCACCAACAGCGGGACCATGCGAGAGTCAACAGAGCAAGCTGCTCCCCCAGCGCCCCGTCAACAGAGAAGGGAACAGAACCCCTTCCGAAAGAAAAAGTACATACACATATACACATATAATACATATACACACACAAGATATGTTACACACACGTGCGTATACACGTTGCTGTGCACACCACACACACACAGTTGACATAATACATGTGCTATGGATGATAAACATGATGATAAATGCATATAGTCCACCGCCAAGCAGCACATGGTCAAAGGAGGAGCTAGATAGTAAACGTGAAGGTCTTATAACAATAATGAGAGAGATTATAGCGAGAGCGGATAACGATAGATCACGACTGTTGATAGTCGGTGACTTCAACTTGAAATCCATAGACTGGGAAGCATATGAAGCTAAAACAGAAGATTTTTGGACCTGTAAATTTGTAGACCTCATCCTGGAAACATTCTTGTATCAACATGTTAAACAAGCTACGAGGATGAGGGAAGGGG